TCTTAATATTATTTCGAAGTGTTCACGTTCTAGTTTTCTACGTCGTTAATGACGTACGAAACGATCAATTGTAGCAAATGCTACGACTTGTCAAAGTAAGCCGTTCGAAATTAGTATTTTGAAAATTTCGATAACATACTAACTTTAAAAATTCTTCGACTATCGTACGCTAATCGAATTTACAAATTGCTTATATCGTCTCAAAACTTATTTCGAGAACTACATTATAAACATATCGAATAATCCAAACAGATACTGAAAATAGTTAAAAATACGTTAAACGTGAATTTTAAATAAATGAGTTTAACTCGCATTTTCTTTTAAAAAATTCAATTATTTCATTAGCATTTATTATTTTTGCAATACAAATATCTCAATGTAATTTTCATCATTTGATTAGAAAATTTTATATAGAATATGACATAAAAAAATTTCGAAATTTTATATCTGAAAAAGTCATATCCCATGTAAATTTTCGGATACAAAATTACATGAGATATGATTTTTTTTTTTTTTTTGGACGTAAATTTTCGATGGTAAAATTTCTCTCAATTTCTTTACAATTTTAATTGTGCCCATCCCAGTTTCCAAGGGTATATACTAATTAATCTATTAAAAATGGCAAATACAAAACCCTTTTGTCTTCTCTTCATGCAAAACATTTATATAATATGAAAATTTACATCAAATGTGGACTGGATTCCAAGTATATAAACATATTTTTGCTGTGCACTTGGTTTAGTTGAAAGCGCGATAGGACTAAAGTTTTATTCAATTATTGCGTACAGATCCCTTGGTGCAAAAGTTTAGTGGATTGTCATGTATCGACCGATTAGAACTACTCTCTTTTTTTTCTTTTTTCTTTTTTTTCCTTTACTGAATTCACTAATCCAAATGCTCGATGTGACCACTATTACAGTGAGGGTTTCTTTGAACCTCATTTTTTGGGAGATTAAATTTTTAATAGTAATTTTTTAAAAAATGCATAGTTAAAAAGTATAGAATTTTTTTTGATTTACATGTAAAATTATTTTATTTAAAAAATGTGTAATTGAAATTAAGTTTGAAGATAAATAATTTTTTAAAGAATAAGACTCAAACAGGGACTAAGACGGTCGTTCAACTTTCGGCCAATGTTCTTTCAAACTGTTTCAACCCAGAATTATCTAGAATTTCAAGTTTCTTAAAAATAAATGAACGCAAACCACGAAAACAATGTTGTCCAAACGTGTAAAGTACCAGTTCAGGTGACATGCATTTTTATTAATTGTAAGTGAGAGTAGCTCATTGCCACCTAAATTACTGTTAATCACCCATAATGATATATCTAATTGAAAAAAATATATATCTTCAAAAATAAAAATTCCTAAAATATACTGTCAAGAATAAATCTATATGTACATAATTATTGTACATAATGTATTACATAGGCCTATGTGGAAGAAATCCGACCATGGATGTGAAGTGTGAAAAAATCAACAATTGTAGACTATCGATGGATGCGCGCCACATGTCAATTATGTAACGTATTATATAAATAATTATATACTTGTAACATGTTATTTTCAAAGTGAAGCATCCAAGCAAAATCCATCAATTATGTTGACAAGGAATTCACCAACCTAGTCACACAATGATTTTAGATAGGCCCGTGCCCAATTGGATGGAGACACGAATTCGCCCTTATCGGAATTGATTGACAAGAAATAATGGGTAGAAAATTAATTAATTTAAAGGAACCATAAAAGAGTGGTCTTTGTTACATCAAAATTCCTTCGTGTATAACAATGATATAAACTTAGAATATTCAATGTCCATTAAACTTTATCTTTGAAGTGACCTCAAATGGGAAAATTCCATTCTTCTCCAATATGCATGCTTGCCGGGGAATCGACAAGTAACATTACATTCAACACGCGTATTTGACAAATACAGCAAAAAATACTATTAATAAACACAACCCTTTTTTGTTAGTGCACTAGAGAATATTGGGTATTACTTAAAAAAAATAAAAAAAATCTAGAATCTTCCATGCTTGTACCCAACAGTCCTGCCTACCTTGACTGGTAATGTACCAAACATGCTAATGTAGTTTGATGTATGTACAAAATTACCCCATAAAATACCGGGAAAAACCTAATGAATAGGGCATGAGTGCATGAGAGATGGAACCCAAGTAATGAAAAACACACATTCATTCAATTGTAGCGCTCTAAACAGCATTGGATAAAACTCAAATCTCGTCCTTAGTACTCCTTGATTGTGCCATGCTCGGTATTGCTAATACAATTTGATGTATATGATGACGGTGCTAAGGAGGTATCACCCTAATTGGAACGTCCCGATTATCCTCATCGTTCCCAACTCCAAAACTTATTTTATAAAAAAAAAATGGAACTCCCATAAAATATCAGGAGAAACCTAGTAAATAGGGCATGCGTGCACAAGAGATGGTACCCAAGTGGGACATATAATATAAGAGATCGAAAATGATAGAGAAGTGTCTATACACATGCCGAGTCTCTTTGCCTATACCCTCCATGTATCATTTGCACTTCCCAAACACAACAAAAAGCACATACCTCCCCACCAGGAAGCACATGCAATCCACGTGCAAATAGCTACATATAGGTCAACCGTAGTAGAGTCGAACTCACATACACTTGCGACTACAGAACATGGGTTAATATCAGATAAGAAACACATTGAGTCGAACTCAGTCTCACACAGAAGACACGTGTTGTGTGCAGCTGCTAGAATACAGGATAATATCAGATCAGAAACATCTTGCAGGTTGACCCTAATTGAATGGAACACACGTACATATACACACACGAACATAAACTTCAGTGTGTTCGGCCGCTAGAATATTAGGATAATATCAGATCAGAAACACAGCCTGAAAATAAAGGATAGTGATACCATACACTGTTAAAGAAAGCCAAAAACAGGATGAGAAAGTTTAGTCACTCGAGTTTTCAGTACCTGGCACTGATGAATTCTAGGTGCATGCGTTCTTTGTCTTCATGATTAGTTGGGCTGTAGAGCTTACCTGTTCATCTAATCAAATGCTTCTGTCGACCTGTCGACAAATACTTGAAATAGAACCATTATAATGAGGCACATAGCACCATCAATGCAACTAAAACAAGTCAACATTAAATGGCTTGCATAGATAAGGATTGAGCACTCTACGAAGCTTGTCAAGAAACCAACTTATTCAATGGCCAAGTATTACATCGTCAACATAATGTATCTACCAAAATGGGAAAAAGTCAATGATTTCTTATAATAATATGATGGAAACTGCAGTCTTCAGGCAAAACAGTGATATTAAAAATAGCGCTTTATTAGCAAGTATCATGAAATATGCTATGTAGCAGCACAGTACTTGGTTCAAATTCAGAAAGAATCAGTGAATGCCTCAAACTGATGTATACATGCAAAAAAAATCAGAAATGGCAAAGAAATAAGCAGGTTTTAACACTGAATTTAGTCAAATTTGTAATCCAAAAATTCAAGTCACATATCTCGGACTTGAACACTGTAACTCCCATCGCATTATTTTGAAGTCTTAATTACTATAAACCTTCAGGTTGAAAAATCGACTTCCCAATTTTATATGTATTGTTGTTGAACCAACAACAGTAAAACAAAAAGAATTTTTTTTTTTTAAAAAAAGGACTATTAGAGTATTAGTACTTTTTACATACCTTGTTGCTCATCACATGGACTATTTTTCATGACAAAAAGGAAACGGCTCCTATGTATGTGCATAAAGACAATGAAAGATAAAGAAGGTGAATTTTTCTATTGCCATTTTGACTATCACTGTTGTGTAACATCTCTATGTTGAATACTTGGTGGAGATCATATATATAGAAAATCAATTCTCTTAGTTTTATTCTAACAATTCGACATTTATATTCTCAATCAAACTGACACCATAGTTCTCCACAGTATTGCAATACTACCATCATGACAAAATTTTATTTGCCTGCAGCACTCTTTTAATCTCACCCGCAATCCCCTGTAAGGAACCTGGTTTTTGAATAACGCCATTCATTCCTATTTGCATGCATCTTTCTCGTATATCTTCATCATCACTTGCAGTTAAGGCAATGATCAATGGCCAGCTGCGGCTATGAAACTTCCGAACTCTCATGGTTACTTCAAAGCCGTCCAAATCAGGCATGTGAAGATCCAATAGAACAATCTGATAATTAGTTACTGCAGGACCAAGAGCACTAAGGCATCCGTATCCAGACGAAACGGCAGAGACAACACATCCTAGCTTCTCAAGCAACTTCCGCGTCACAGCTCGGTTCACATCATCACTATCAACTAATAGAACTTTGAGGCCACTTAAAAGAGAGTTAGAATGTGGATGTTCTGAAGGTCTCCCGTGTTCTGAACTGCTGGTTACAATGGATGACCGGGTTTGGAACCGTAGAACAAGCGCCATACTTTGATCAAAGCCCTCTGGATTTGGTATCACCCAGATGTCTCCTTGCATTAACTGCGCATAGTGATGTATATAATTGAAAGAGAAGTCATATAGTGAAAGGAAATAAATGATTTAAACATAAAAAAAGATGGAAAAACAAAGGGCGAGATAACTTCCAAAAAATTTATTGACTAAAGAAATCAATGTAATAATTAAATACGTTGATGCAACCTACAATCTCTTCCTCTATTACAATTCAGTAAATAGTTTATTGTCTTGCATAGATTTTACGTAAAAAATAAAATAAAATAAACATGGCTTTGTGCAATCTATGGAGAACATAAAAGGCAATAATCCTTGAAAAAGAATTGAATTGAGATGGTGAGAGACAAGTTTCCACTGATGACAAGATCCCAATGATAAAAAATGTAAAGTAAGCCACAAGAAAGAGCCAAAACTATGGATGACAATAATTGCATGTCAAGTGTCAAACACAAATGGAATTTTAGCAATTGAAACCAAGACAAAATGCATCCAATTGGCATAAAAAAGCTTCAACATGTTGCTGGCATTTTCAAAACGTTTGCATGGAAAAATGGACAAAGGGATGTCAGAGATCAACAATTACCATGCATGTTTTCATACAGATATCCTGGCTTTATCAACTCTCTCTATCATTTACAAGTCAAATATAACAGATTCCCAGACATACCTGAACTAGTTTTCTGCACACACTGAAGCTCAGGCCTTCCTCAACTCCACCAGAGTACCTCTGACTACCATGTAGATTTGCAGTAAGTGAACTCTTAGCAGGAGAACCATTATGGAATATCCCAACTTCAAGCTTGATATAAGCATATCCATCGGATGAGTTTGATCCCCAGTGACCCCATCTTTGATCATTCCATGCCTGACTTCGAGTGGCTAAATACACTCGTAATGTAAGGCAGCCCCCTTCTTTGCTTCCATTCAAAAGATTTCCAACCATATGCAAAATAACCTGAAATACTCTTCTCTCATCACCCATGACATGGTTGGGCAAGGATTTATCAACCTCAATGACAAAATTACAACCCCTATAAACGCAAAGGCACTTAGCAAGGCAAGCAGCTTGTTTTACCATAGAATGTAGCTGAAAAGCTCTCATCTCTAAAGGGAACCTTTGATTATCCTTTGTCGAAGTATCCATTACATCATTTATTAAGGTTGTCACGACATTGCTTGTCTTAATCATAGCATCGACTAGAAGCAGCTGCTCATTGCTTAAACTCTTCTCGTCTTGCAGAATGGATAACAGACCTAGAATGGAGTGCATGGGTCTTCTCAATCCATTACTCATTACCATCTGAAATGAATTTCGTGCTTGACTTGCCATCAATGCATCCTGTTTTGCTTGTTGCAGTGCTCGGTTTTGTTCCACTAATTTCTCTCTCATAAGCTGAGATTCTTCTAGGACAGCAGCATGGGAAAGAGCCACAGCTACCTGATCAGCAACTACCTTTACTATCTCAAGTTCCTGGTTGCTCCAAGTTCTACCCTGTCCATCAGGAAGAACCAAAACAAGAATGGCGTAACAGGCCTGAACAATTTCAGGAGTCCCACCTTTGAAATTGGAAACCCTCAGCATTGGCATCCTAATTGCAGCCA